GAAAACAACTTAAAAATTTTTTTTTCTTAACTTTTTTTATAGTAAAAAAAAGTCTTAAGAAACTGAACAAATTAATTGAAAATTTTAAATTTTTAAAATAAAAATAAAAAATAAAAGAAACCGCCACGTTTTCTTTTTTCAATTAGACGACGTTAAAAAAAATAATAATAAAATTTACTTGATAAAAAATTTTTTCCATTTCTAGAATATTCTTTTGCTTAAACGCGTCAAATTTTATTTATAATAACGAAGAAAAAATTTCTAATAAAATACAAACGTTCAAACGTTCAAAATTTTCAAATGAAACTTTATTAATTTTTTTTTACGCTTCAACAACAATTATTATTAATATCATTATTATTATTATTATTATTATTATTATTAAACAGCTCACGAGAATAATAAAAAAAAATTAAAAAAAAAAAAATGAGTTAAACATAATAAAAATATCCCGTGGTGAAAAAAAAAAAATGGCAAACTTTACTATAAATCGACGTGGCGTGAAAAATTATATAAAAAAAAAAAAAAATGGCGGACGTTGAAGTTTAAAAAACGCTTTCGGCCAATCGAACATAAAAAATGAAAAAATTGAAAAAATTCATTCGTCTCCATTTTCTTTTAATTTTTTTATTCGCCTTCTTTTATTAATTTTATACGATAATCAGTACACAAAAAAAAAATTAGATTTGTTCGTTTGTTTTACTTTTGATTTTACACGTGTTTTGCACGTGTGAATTCTTTTTTTCTCTCTCTCTCTTTCTAATAATTATTTTGAGAGTATTAAGTACTTGTCTTCGAATCGTCCGAGTAAATCCTTATTTTGTTTTTTAACGATAAAAAAAAAAGTTTCGAAACATTCGCCAAAATTTTATTACCCTTCGTTATCACAAACCGATTAGAAATTTTATTAACGAAAGTTTTCTGTTTTATTACATTGTTATAATAATAATAATTATTATTATTATTGATAAACATAAAATTTAAATTTGGCAAAAATTTTACGATTCGAATCAAGAAAACAAACATCGCGTGGCGCCATTAAAAATTCAAACAAAACAAAATCAATTCATTTAGAAAATTTTTTATTATTATTATTTAGTTTCTCTCGAACTTTCCATCGAAAATCGAATGAAAATTTTCAATACACGCACACGCACACCACACATACACACTTTAAATGGAAAATCATTTTTTTTTTTTTTATGGACACCCAAATTTCAGTTGAGGTAAATTTAAATGACCTTGAATTTAAATTTAAGTATAGGAAACTATTTATGTTAATATTAAAAACGTGATGATGATGTTTGTTGTTGTTGTTGTCGTCGTCGTGTTTTTTTTTGTTTTCCAGGAAATACAAACGTTTTTACGTGGAAAAATAAAAAAAAATAAAAAAATTAAATTTTTTCCGCCTGAAAAAATAAAAAAGTTTGGACTTTGATCTTTTATCCGTGCCCACGAAGAAACTTCCTTTTTTTTTTATTTGATTTGTTGCAAGGTACGATGGTTTATAGTAGTAGGTATAATAATAATAATAATAATAAAAATAAACGTAAGTCCTACAAAAAAGATTTAATATGATTCATCTCCGAGTTTATTTGTTTTTTTTTTTTTTTTTGTTTAAGAGAGCAAAGGTAAATTTTAAACAAGTTTTTCTAAAATCAGGTTTTTTTTTTGTATCGTGAAAAAACTTGTGCCAATGTTTCGTTTAGGTAGGTTAGTTAAATATATTAATGTAGTTTTACGTTATTAAATAATAATAATAATAATAATATAAAAAAAAGAGTTTATTTATATATATAAAAAAAAAATTAATAATAATTATGAACAATTGTAAATACAAAAAAAAACAAAACACGAAAAAAATTATTAGGTTTTGAGCATTTTAAAAAAAAAAAATTTGATTTGATTTAATTTCTGTTGTTTATGTTGTTGTTTATGTTGTTTATGCTGTTGTTTATGTTAAATTTAAAGTTGGATTTTTCTTTTTTGGGCTTCAGCTTCGTACTTCTTTCTGTAGACACCGTTTGGATCGTATTTAGCTTCCAAAAGAGTGAAAACATCCTTTTTGTTTTCAAGAAGATGTCTGATAACTTTTTCGGCTCCTCTTTTTTGAGCTTCACTACATTTGGCACAAGCGTTTTCTAAAGCGTCCGGAAGTACTTCTACGAAAAAAAAGGTTTGGGTGTCATGAAATTTATACGCGGCAAATACCTCTCCCTCCTCCAGCAAACAGAAAAAACAGGCAAACAAACAAAACAAAACCCTAATGCCTAAAATAATCCTTTTGATATTTTGAAAAAAAAACCAAACAAACAAACAAACGACAGAAATCGGTAAAAAATTTCATCCGGTTGAAATATCCATCTTACACGATGATGATACCCCCCCAAACAAAAAAAAAACAGAAAAAACGAAAGAAAAATAAAAAGAAAAACTTACTTTTGAGGTCGGTTCCTTCTGGGGTGCAAGTTCCCTTGTCCAACAAACAGTTGACGTAGTTTTGCAACAAACGATCGTTTTTCAAAATTGAATCCAAATCGATGTTATCGTATTTGGTGCTGTATTTTTCATCCCGTGGAACTCTCGCTCCAGCAGCCAAAGCAAAAGCGCAAAATAAAACGAATGCAACCTTCATGTTAGCAATTGTTTGTACAATTTGATGCCGATATTAAATTTTACGTTGTTTATATATGTTTAAAATCCAAATGGGGGCCTTGATTTTGATTATCAAGTTGCTTCAATTATTGCGCTTTTGTTTCTTACATAAAAAAAAGGCCTAAAAAAAAAAAAAAAAAAAAAACGTAGTAGTTTTCATTGAAAACTTTATTAAAATTAATATATATATATAAATATATTTAATAAGAAACAAAACGTTTTTATCATAAGCTTTACATGTAATAATCAAACTCGATAAAGTTTTTATTATTATTATTATTATCATTATTTTTTCTACACCGTTTCGTACTCTAATTAAAAATGTAAATTTTTTTTTTTTGTTTTTATTTACATAAAATTTTCCCAAGAAACTTTAATCCTAATCGAGGAAACTCGCCATATTTATTTTTTTTTTCTTTTTTTTGGATTTAATATTAATTATTTACATCATTACCCCGATCGTTAATCGATAAATCTGTATCAATTAGTTTTATTTATCGTTATTATTATCATCATTATCATTATATTTTTTTCTAGAATTTTCCATTTTCATCACGTTTCAAATTTTAAAAAAAAATTATTTTTCTGGGAAGTTTTCTTTTTTAAAAAAAATTATTTTTCTGGGGAGTTTTCTTTTTTAAAAAAAAAAATTTTTTAGCACGTTTTAAAACGAAAAATCGATACGGGGGAAAAATAAAATGTTGCCGGGGTGGGGAGGGGAGGGGTAGTTAAAAAGGTGGTCATTTAAATTTTCCACCCATTTCAAAAAAAAAAAATTTTTTAATTTTTTTTATTACTTATTGCAATAAAGCAAATTATGTAAAGTAGTTGCGAATCGTCATAATAATAATAAAAAAAAAGTCAAAATGGCAAATATTACTTTAAATTTATAAATAATAATAATAATAATAATATTTTCATTTAATTTTTTGTGTCATTTATTTATATATTTGTTTACAATAACAGAAAAAAAAAACGAGTTTTTTTTTTTAACTGAAATTTTGTAAAATTTGTAGAAAGTTGAATGTAAAAAAAAATCTTTTTTTTTTTAAATGAAAAATCATTATTATTATTTTTACAAAAAAAAAAAAAAAATTAAAATTTTTAACACAATATTTTCCATTTATTTATTAAAAAAAAAAAAATAATAATAATAATTTTTTTTTTTTTTAATAAATGAATGGAAAGTATTGTGTTAAAAATTTTAATTTTTTTTTTTTTGACGATTTTCAATAAGTACGTCATTATTATTATTATTATTATTATTATTATTATTATTATTATTATTTTAATTTTTAATAAATACGTCACTATTATTATAAATAATAATTTTTTACTGGAAAATAAAGATGAATAATTATATACGATCAAAGTCCATTTTCAAATCGTTTAATGTAAGGGGGAGGGAAAAAAAATAGAGACAGAGAGAGGCAGAAGTAGAGAGAGACAGAGAAAGAAAGAGAGATAGACTCTCATGATACGAAAACTTGATTTTTTAATAAATAAATCGGTTAAAAAAAAAATTTTTTTTAAAATTAACTTTAAACAAAAAAATCGTCAAATAAAAAAAAAAAAAAAAACCAAAAAAAAATTTTCTGCTGGAAATTTAAAAAATTTTTTGTCATCAACAAATTCCAGAAGCTTTAAGAAAACTGCACGAAAACTCCAAAAATTTTTAAAAAATTTTCTCCCCAGTCCCCTCCCCGATCCCAGCCTCCCTCCCTTATAAAGTTTAAATAATTAATTGGAAAAAGAAAAACTTTAAAATTAATCACATAAGTTAAAATGTGTTAAGTTAACAAACTATTAAATTAAAACTTATCCACCTCGTTATAATAATAATAATAATAATAATAATAATAATAATAATAATAATAATAATAATAATAATAATAATAATTTAAATAATTCCATATATGGTAATTATGTAATTTTTTTTATAGATCGATTTGACCTCTCCAGAAAAAAAAAAAAAAAAAAAAAAATTTTCTTTTTATTAAAAAACATTCAACCAAAAATGGTTCAGTGAGGTTGAGTCCTTCGTTAATCTCTCCATTATTATTATTAATATTCGCGTGTTAGTTGGTATAATAATTTTAAAATTTTCAAATTGTAAAATAAAATCGGAAAATATTATTATGAAAAACAAACGAACAAACAAACAAACAAACAAACCTTAGGGACTTTTTTAAAAAAAAAAAAAGGTACACTGACGTGATCAAAATCACCTTCGAGGGAAAAACTTTATTATTATTATTATTTTAAAAAATTGATTTCGCGAGATTAGAATAATAATAATAATAATAAAGGTTTTTTTCGTTCTCCCCTTAAAATTTAAAAAAAAAAAGAAAGAAAAAAGATTCGTTTATCAGGAAAATTTCTCAGAAAAAGTAAAACAAAAACAAAAAACAAAAAAAAAAAAAAACCTTGGCCATGAAAGAGAATGTTTTTTTTATCACGAGCTGGAGCGAGTTTTCGTGTGCGTTTATTATATGACGTCAAAAAAAAATTGTTGTTTTGACCATTTTCATTATCATTATCATTATTATTATTATCATTCTTTTACCTTCTCAGAATTTATTTATAAACAAAAAAAAAAAAAATTTCTTGTTTGTTGACGTAAAAGACGCGAGAGAGCTTTTACATTTTTTTTTTTTTTAGTTTTTATCGTCGTCGCCTGGAAAAAAAAATCTCATCAAAATTTTTTACTGGACAAAACAAAAAAAAATGATCGAAACATCCTCTGGACAAAAAAAAATTTTTTTAATTTTCTTTGTTTTCTTTGTTTTTTTTTTTTTTTTTTTTAATAACAAAGCCTCGTTAAAATTTTTTTTTTTATATTCTCGAAGGTTAATTTGTATTTAAATTTGTTTACCATTGAACCATTTATTTATTTTTAGTTTAATTAAAACTAAAACTAAACATTTTTATTTTCTCTTATTAACTTTTAGTTATAGAACATGACCTCTCACTATTATTATTATTATTATTATTATTATTATTATTATTATTATTAATAAATTATTAGTATTAATAGAATTATTAATTTTTTTCTCACATCATTTTTTTTTAACTCTCTCCCTTTTTCTCCCTTTCTCTCTCTCTCGCTCTCTTTCCTCCATTTTTTTTTTTTTACAAGTAAAATATTAATAATAATAATAATAATAATAGCAAATGTTAATGACCTAATTTTAGTCGCGTTGTTTACAAAAAAAAAAAAAAAAATAGTCAAATTAGTACGGGAAATGAATACAGACAAACAACTATCGGACGTACTAAAAAAAAAAAATAATTTATCTTAATTTTCTTATATTAATAATAATTTTTTTTGAACGTGGCAGCAGACAAACGTTCGTGTAAATTCAAATAATTAATAAATTTTTATTAAAATAAAATAACATTAATGAAATAATTTTTTCGACTTAAAAGAATAATACGTAAATAAAATTATTATTAATAATAGAAATGATTATTATTATTAAATTATTAAATGGCAATTATATACGAATAAATTTTTTTTTAATATTAACGTAGAAACGTTAATAAATTAAAAAGGAATAATAATAATGATAATAAAACTTATTGGCAACAGTATAAAACTGGAGGTCAATAAAAAAATAGGATAGTTTTTTAATTATTTTCATGAAATAAAATTGTCTTCTCCTCATTAAATAATTACGTAATTAACGACGAAGACGACGACGACGATAAATATTATTATTATTATTATTATTTCTTATCAATAATATTATTATTATTATTATTATTTCGCGGAAAATGAAAATAATGATTATAATTAAATTTATTAATAATTATTTTTGCTATTAATGTCAAATGAGAAAATCTTTTTTTATGTCGGATTAAAACCCTGAACTTAATTTAATAAAATTTATTATTATTATTATTATTATTATTATTATTATTATTATTTAAAAATAATAAAAAGTTCAATTTGTGTTTGTTCGTGATCTTGGTCGCGGTGATATTTTGATAAGAGATAACATGGATTACTGATGCCCGTACTACGAATTATGAAAAAAATTCCGCGAAAAGAAAATTTTATTTTATGAAAAATAATAATAATAATTAAATAATAAATTTTTAGGCTCTTACTTATTTTTTGTTTTAAGTAAATAATTGTTCGTTTATTTGAAATTTATTCATTATTATTATTATTATTGGCACTTCTGAAGACGACATGATTTCGTGTGCTCGTTGGAGTTTTTAGGCACTTATTCCAGGTTTCTACCAGATTTCTTAGGAATATATGTTCGAATTCCTGGTAAGATTCCTTTTTTTAAATTCTTTAAAATCTTCTTCAAATTTTCTTATAATGGAGGAGGCTTGGCTCCCAGTGCTCCCACGATGACCGGAATAGTTTCTGTCTTTACTCCCCATATCTTGGCTTTTTCAGCCTTTTGTCTGCTTCTATCTTTTAGCATTATGTCTCAGGATGATATCCGGTTTGTTGGCTGACACAGTTTCTGTCAGTTTGGATTTGTTGGTCGTACAGAACTGTGCATAGACCTACTGTCGTGATCGAGGTTGGAATATGGTCGTACCACTCCTTGAGTAATCCATCCATTCCATATTCGCGACAGATATTCCAGTGAAGATATTTCCAGGTTTCATTATGCCTATCTAGATATTCATGTTTCGTCTGAATCGGACAACCGAACAATTGAAATTAAGCTTTGCTGTCGTAAGTTGCAAGCTGTCGTTCTTCTTGTTCATTTTCTTTATTCTCATTGACGATTCATTTTGCCCTTCTTAGTACTCCTTTTTTCGTAACTTTTTTCTCCATGAGTACCGTTTGGGCTAATATGGGGTGCTGTTGATGGAATTTCTTGTATTTTCCCATCACGACACTACCATTTTGTTACGCCTCCTCCCCCATATTTCCTACTGACGTGCAATCTATCAGAATTTGGATGCAACGCATCATTCATTGTCATTACTGACAATCATCATCTGAACTTCGCATCATGATTTTCCTTGTTTTTTGGTCCAGGTGCGTGATTTCCTTCTCACGAGGCCAAAACTATATTCCATTACAAAAACTGCTAATGTGCCAATTTTGTTTATCTTATTTCTTATCTTATCTCCGACTACATTATTATTATTATTATATTATTTTTTAAAAACTTTGTTCGCCGGGAAAAAAATAAAAAATAAATAAGAACAAAGAAAAGAATATTATTTACGTTTCATAAATGATTTTCTAAAGCAGACGACAACATTAAATACATAATTATTATTGTGTAGAATTTAAAATTTTATTAAACAAAAAAAAAAAAATAAATAATAATGATGATGACAAATTTATATGATTTAAAAATAAAAAAAAATTAACAATCTAAATTTTTGCGTTTGTTTGTGCGTGTGCGTGTGCGTGTATGCGTTTATCACAAAATAAAAATAAAAATAAACTGATAATTGTGCTGTGAGAAAGAAAAAAGAAAAAAAAAACTTAGTGTGTCAAAAAGTGTCTTCATATAACTTTTATTATTATTATATTTTTTTTTAAACATTAACGTCGAGAATTTTGCAAAGTTGAAAAACGAGAAATTTACTCTTAAAATTATTTAAAAAAAAAAAAAATTATTTATTTATTTATTTAATTTTAAACTGGAGCTAGAAAATTGCCAAATACGAACGAAATTTTTTTTTTTAATGGTTTATTTATTGATTTGCTTAATGTGTAAATTTTTTATTTTTAATTAATTTTTTTTTAATTGATACGTCACAAAATAAATAAATAAATAAATTTTTTTTAAATAAAAGTTGATATTAAATTATTTAATTAATTATTTTTTCTCAAATTTTCTCCAAAATTTTAAATTTTTTTTTTTTAAACGGAAGAAATAAAACCTGGAGAATAAAAAAAAAAAAGAAAAAATTTTTTTTTAATCACGCTACATCCACGACTCGTATAAAAAAAATTTTTTAACGTGTATAAAGTTTTTTTATATTCTTCTACGACCACGTTTTTTTCTTTTTCTTCCTTTTTTAAACGTAAAACATTTGCATATGTTTAAAGCGTATAAAATAAAAAAAAAAAATACGTCAGACCACGAGTAATTTTTTTTTTTTTTAATAATAATAATATTAAATTTATTATATTTTGCATACGTAATGACTTAGATTTTATAAAAATAATAATAATAATAATAATAATTTATACATAAATAATTTACGTTATCCTACCGCGTAACAATAAATTTTTTTATTAAAAATCTTATGGGGTTGTTTGTTGTTGTTACGAAGGGTTAACAAACAACGATGTGATTTTCGTCATATTTTATTTATTTATTTATTCGTTTACGGTAAATTTTTTTTATAAATAAATAAATAAAAATTTTAAATTTTTATTTTTCATGTTTATTTATAAATTGAATCGAGCCAAAAAAAAAAAAAAATCAACATTCGACCCTGAATTTTTTATAAGACGTTTTCTTACAAAAAAATAAAAACAAACAAACAACAACAACAATGATTTCCTACAATTTTTTTTTTTTTGTATTTTCATTGTTTTTCCCTTTTTTTCTCACAGATTTTAAATTCTTGTAAATGATTTAAAATTTTAAATATTAAAAATTATTTAAAACTAAAATTTTTGTTTTTGATCTATACAAGCAATCAAATAATTTTTTAAAAATATAACGAACACACAGAGTTTTCGGGTACAAACGAAAAACAAACAAAAAATGATGTTTGTATGCTCAAATATGGCGGCAAAATGTCTAGTCTTATTAATCCAAGGCTATTTGGAAATTTAACTCGAGGGGAAAAAAGAATAAATGAAAACATAAATTATTTTGGATGATGTATTCCTTTGTTAAACCTTTGGAAAATCATCATAAGACGATCGATATCCATTTAATTATAATATTATTATTATTATTATTTTTAAAAACTAAAAAAATAAATTTTTGATTGATTGATAAAAAATAATACATTTCTGTTAATGAGTTAAAAAATTTTTTTTTTTATAAAATTACCCAAATTTTAATCAGTTTTTTTCGGAGAGAAAAAGGGAAAAAAGGGAAAAAAAGCTTTTCCAAAGTTTAAAATTGATTTAAAGTTTGTAGTACAAAGAATAAGAAGAAAAAATTCAATAGAAAACGTAAATTAAAGTTTAAAACAAGAAACTTATATCTGCTAAGGTTACTGTTACAATTTATAACTTGATATAAAGTAAAAGAGTTTGCGTTTATTATAAGCGGAATTAAAAGTTCGTTGCCTTTGACAACTTTTTTTTTTCCAACCGAAATCTTCCACATTCAATAAATTTGGTTTACGATGGTGTTTTTCAAACGGTGTTATTAAGTCGCCCCATTGACGTAATGGAAGGAAGGAAGAATAATAACCGAGAGGGTAAAGGAAGAAGAAAGTAGTAGTGGTAGAAGAAGAAGAGGTAATACATTAATTTTTTTTTTTTGCAATTCACGAAAACTGTTTTTTTTTTTTTTGTATTAAAAATTGGTAAATTTTCTTTCTGGCTTATGTTTAGATTTCGTATCGTTTTATTTTGATTTTTTACCCGTTTTTCAGGTATATAAACCCGTGGAAGACAGCGAAAAGGTATCATTGCTCAGTTATCTCGGGTAATACAACAAACACTTACGAAAATGAAATATTTCGTTGCTATCGTTTTTGCCGCTTTGGCCATCGCTTTTGTTTCTGCCGAAGGTGGTACTCCTACAAAGTTTACCACAAAATTTGACGATGTTAACTTGGATGAAATTTTGAAAAGCGACAGATTGTTGCAAAACTATTTCGATTGTTTGATGGACACCAAACCATGCACTCCAGGTGGAACCGAATTGAAAAGTAAGTTTTTTTTTGTTTTTTCATATTTGATTTTTTACTGCTGTTGTTGCTGTTTGGTTTTAAACGATATTAAGGATACGACAAAACTCACGAGGATATACATCGTGTGTGTTTTTTTACAATTTGCAACCCTTTTTCTGTATTGTGTAGCTAACTTTTGTGTAGACATGAAGACATAAAAGTGGGTACATATACGCAACCTTTTATTCAAAATTTGTCGTGAAATGTTTTGAACCCCTTACGACAGCATATAAAAATTTATTTCTTATTTTCTTCTCCTCCAAACAGACGCTCTCCCAGTTGCTTTGAGAGAAGAATGTGCCGGATGCAGTGAAAAACAAAAAGCCGGAGCTGAAACTGTTATCCGTTTTCTTGCCACCAACAAACCAGACCTCTGGAAAGCATTGCAAGACAAATACGACCCAGACCGCGTCTACAGAAAGAAGCATGCTGAATTTGCCGCTCAAAAAGGAATCACCGTTTAAATTGTTGACGACTTAAGCCATCCCTCCGTACTAAATAATTTTATTTATTATTTATTAAATATCACATAATTTCCTATTTTTTTTTTTGTCAAAATTTTTTAATTTATTATGTTTATTATTTTCGTTATTTAAATAAAAAAAATTTTTTTTTCCGTTCAAAAATATTTTTAATTTATTTACAACCTTATAACCTTTCTTCGTTTCGTCAAATTTTTTAAAAAGGGAAAATTTTCTCAGAGAAAATCTACAAATGGAACACGAGAGAGTAAAAAAAAATAATAATTTAAAATGTTAAAAGAAAACGAATTAATAATAATAATAATAGTAAAAGAAGAGTTTTGAAATAAATAGAAAGAATCTTATTTAATTATTGAAATAATTAAAAAATTATTAATTACAATTTAATTAAGGGTTGATTATATTTAAAAGGTTTAAAAATCGTTAAATTAATTTAAAAAGGTTCGAATTATTTCGAAAAGGATTTAAGGATTTTTTCCCTACTTTTTATATTAAAATCTCAATAACGAAAACCTCTCACTGTTTACTTTCATCCATTTATTTTAGTATTAATAATAATAATAATAATAATAATAATAATAATAAATAAATAAATAAATCGAAACGTTTGATAAAAAAAAAAGTAATTTGATATATGTAAAATAATAATGTTTTTATATATACGATTTCCGATGTTAAAAACCTTTTGAAAATTTTTTTTTAAATTTAAATAATAATAATAATAATAATAATAATAATAATAATTTAGAAGTTAGCATTTAATTTTATTATTGCAGAAAACTTTAAAATAATAATTTTAACCGACCGAACAAGGTTCGTTTTGCAAAAAAAAAAAAAAAAACACGAAACATCTTGTTTTTTTTTTTTTAAACAAATGCGAAATTTATTTTAAGTTTCAGGTATTATCATATCGAATCGCCATCTTTTTTTTTTTTTTTTCATTTAATTTTTTATATATACTTTTTTCATTTTATTTATATACTAATTTAGTAATATTTATAAAGTTCGATGATTATTTTAATAATTATTAAAACGATAAATTTTTTTAATAATGTTATTCGTTTTGTAATAACTGAATGAAAAAAATTTTTATTTACGAGTATTATTATCATTATTCTTTTTTTAAACCTTCAGAATTTTTTTTTATTTTTATTTGAAATACCTGAGATTATTTTGCATCGTTTCAAACATTTTTTTCCTTTTTTTAAAATCAATTCATAATTTAATTTCGTTCGTAAAAAAAAGTTTTTTAAATAAAAATTTTAAAGTTTTCCATAATATTTCTACCATAAAAAAAAAAAAAAAAAATTGAAAATGTTCATGAAAAAATCTACGTGAATTGATTGATATTAAGGCAAATTATATATATATACTCAATTAAATTTTTAAATATTTATTTATATATTGAAAAATCCTTCATTTGAATTTAAAAATGTTAATTTGAGTGATTCCCTTAAAAAATACAAGCGTGCAATTTATCGTTACGTTATAACAAGCAAAAAGAATAATTTTTATTTTGTGGGAGTTTTCCTCGTTCGTTAACGCGAATTTTCCTTATTATCATTTTTCTCCATTTCATCCCGTTCTTCTTTTTTTTTATCGTCATCCCTTTTATCATCATTCTTATCACCGTGACGATTATTCGCAATGTGATTTTTTAAATAAATACCTTCCGGATCGTATTTTTTTTGCAATTCCGCCCACCATTCCGTTTTATTATCTTTAAAAAAATCAATAACCTTATGCATGTTGATTTTTTGTTTTTCGCTACATTTCGAACAATCGTTTTTCAAAGCATCCGGAAGATTTTCTTTAAAAAATACAAAAAAAAAAATTTGTTTTTCGCGTTCATCGATGAATACAATACGTGAAAAGAAAAAAAAAAAATAATAATAATAATAATTACTTACTTTTTAATTCTTTGCCGTCCGGCGTACAGGGTCCTTGATCCATTAAACATTTTTTATAATTTCCAAGTAATCTTTCACTTGATAGGATTTCATCGACGTCTATGTTATCCCATCTCGTCGTGTATTTTTCTCCCTAAAAAAAAAAAAAAAAGAAAATTTCCTTATAAATTCACACTTTAAATATCACTAAAAGAAAAAAAAATTTTTTTTAGTACGTTTATAACGAAAGTAAAAAAAGTTAAAATAAAAAAAATTTTCATTATTCCGATCATTGTCGTGTCACAAAATAAAAATTTTTTTATAAAATACTAAAATGAAACAAATTTTTCCGCCTTATAAATCATTTCATTCATAATAATTTATGAGAACCCAATGTAAAAATTGATGCAATTATTATAATTTGTTTAAATAATAATAATAATAATAATAATAATAATAATAATTGTTTAATTTAAAATAAAATTATTACAACAATTGAATGTCATTAAAAAAGTTTTAAAAAGTTTAGTTAAGTTTCCATTCGAATTTGTTTCCATCATTTTCTTTAAAAATTATTATCATTATCATTATTATTATTATTATCATTATTATCCTAATAATTATTATTTTTATTATTAAAAACAATACCGAAAACAAAAAAAAAAAAATTTTTTAATAATTAAAAGTTTTGTAATAAAGTTTC